TAACTTCCCTAGTAAACCCTATTATCGTAAGTAATGTCTGTGAGTTCTGTGTGATCACTGCAAAAGATGATCCAACACAGATGTGAAACAAAGAGTGCTGTGGTAGAATGGTTAGTGTCAGAATAGCGTAAAGAAGGTTGAAGGGTGGAGGCATCTCTGGCCTTTGCTTCATAGGAATTGGCATTGGGCTGATTTTGAGTTTGATTCTCCTTTCCACTTGTGAAATCAGAGGGCAGTAATAGCCCCTCTCCTGCCTTTTTTTTTTTTTTTTTCAGGGAACAATAACACTAGTGAGGTATGCACACTTTAGAATAACCAACCATTTGAGATCAAAAGGGTAGTAGTATTTACATACAGCAAGGACAAAATTTAGAAAGGTTAGGAAAGAAGGAAGAATGGAAACAGAAAACACGGGGAGGAAGTAGAATACAGATGTATATTGTGGAGATTGCAATCAGGATTGCTGTGCAAACCTTCACTCAATTTTACATTAAAAAGTTAAGAAATAAATACAGAATCCCTTAACAAGAGCATATATGAGCTTCAAAAAATACATGGAAAAACTCCATTATCTTTTCATTCAATGTTTCCACAAGCTTTTTGAAATCCCCTCATATGAGCAAGCAAGAATAGGTACAGCAAATAGTTTATTAAGATACCAATAAGAAAACTAAAAGGAAAGTTTCTCAGTTAAAACATATGGAAAGGTTTACTGATACAAATCTGTCTCAATAATTAATAAAACCTAATTGATAAAACAGAGTCCTGGTGTGGCGCTGTGGGTTAATGCGCCAGACTGCAAAGCCTTTTGAACTGCAAAATCAGCGGTTCAAGCTCACCAGCTGCTCCTCAGAAACCCTATATAGGGTCGCTATGGGTCGGAATCGACTCAACAGCACTTAACAACAACAATTGATTTAAAAAATTTTTTTAATTAAAAACCTAATTGATGGAGGCGGGGCTTGATGACGGATAAGGTAGAGGTGCAGTGAACTTAACCGTCAGCAATACCACAGACTACCAGGTGAAGAGATACAAAACTCAGAATCACATAGGTAGGAATATTTAAAAAGTTTGAAGGCTTATAGCTAGTGGAACTTGTAGCGGAAGCAAGAAATATTTTTAAATCAGATTTTAAAAAGAGTTTTTAAATCTGCCAGGCTCAGTGGTCTGGAGATGACAACTTGGGTGAGACCAAACGGCAAGAGCAAGTGGGTGAGCAGAACAACCACGTAATAACGCCACGGGAACCTCAGAGCAAAGGTTGTTGTTGTCATGTACTGTGGAGTCAGTTCCAACTCATAGCAACCCTATACA